AGATATATATATATATATAGAGAGAGAGAGAGAGAGAGAGAGAGAGAGAGAGAAGATTGTAATTATCATTATGCTTTGATTATTACAGCCACTCATCCTTTATACCAGCTCACAACTCTAACAAACTTCTCACTAAAACCAATAAAAGGCATCTTTTGTAACAACCAGAAAACGACAAAAAGAAAGGCTAACAGAATTTCCCGCAAAAAATAACCGTTTGCAAAAACAATTACAAATACTCCCTTATCATACCCCCCCCCCCTTTGAAAAGACTTGTCCTTAAGTCGGGCAAGAGAATACCCTAGGAAACTGAGCTTCAAAATTGATTTTAGACATCCAAGTAGCCTCATGAGCTGCAGCATTTTTCCATTGAATCAAGTACTGAGTTTGAGATAATCTTGTAATAGAAACCTCTCTGCTAAACAATAGCAGCAGGCAACAAGGTGTGTTCAGCAGACTGTTCAACTTCAAGTGGAATCATAGCAATCTAAGAGAGCTCAAGCCTAGAATGGTTTGAGTTGAGAAACATTAAAAACATCATATATCTTGGCATAGCTAGGAAGATGGAGCTTATAAGCCACCTCCCTAGCTAACTCTTGCAATCACCTTGAAGGGCCCAAAGTACTTAGCAGCAAGTTTATTACTGCTCTTATGCTGCACTGATTGCTTGGTACGACTGTCGCATGTCTACCAAAAATAAACCTAACTAAAACCTCCTAAAAATGTAGTAGGGTAAGCTAGGGTCGATCCCACAGAGAATTAGATTATCAAATTATTACTTGCGAATGTTAAAAACCCCTGATTTGAAGAATGACTATTACGATCTAATATATAAAACTACGGACTTGAAAATAAGCTAAGTACGGAGATATAAAACTAATAGTAATAATAAATATCAAAAATCAAGAATGACGAAATAGGGATCGGGACATACAATATAGCATTGGAATATCGATTGATCATCGAATTATATAAATCATGTTTTTATCTCAATGTTAGCCGATGAACACAAACAAGCATTCGACACTTCCCTTAATTGCAAATAAACCAAACAAACTCTTGGAATATTGTCTAACTAACTAACAATCTAGAACAAGCTCTCTAGACTCGATTAATTAGCAGCATTAATAACTAGGAAGTAGCTAACTTAAGCCACAAATCTCACAAGCTCGGATTCGTGCAACCTAAAGGGTTGATAATCATAGGCATCGGACAAATTTTAGTCACCTATCAAACACCTAAGTGCTACTAAGGAGTACTAACCCGGACAATTACGTATCACACGGTAATACTCTAGCAATTAAACTAACAAATTATACTAAAGATGGCCGATCTATAATATAATATGACAGTTCATACCAATAAAATAGAATACCAATCCAATCAAGAAATAAACATAATACTGTCAAATTACCACATTCTTATTCTCATAATACAATAATCCAATGTATAATATATCTACGTACCCACGACTAATCTAGCCTGACATATCCGAAGGTAAAGCAATGAAAGTCATATGAATCATATTGCTTAAAGAAAATATGAACATAAAAGTAAACACCCATAAAAGAAATCAATAATACTTAAACTACAATTTAACTTGACAAGAATGAAACAATGGAAGCATTAATAAACTAGCAAATTTTATATCATAATTGAATCAAGTCACCGACTATTTAGATATTACATGCAAAACTGTAAACTAAAAATAGAGTCCAGAATACCAAATCAATGAAATAGCAACCTCCAACGAATTTCTTTATTCTTCCAGCCCAAAAGACAAGAAAAGCTTTTGTGTTCCCGTACCTCGACTTCTTCGTCTTCAAGCTGAACCTAATTCGTTGCCTCCTCCCGAGTTCGTGGCTGCTGGTTTTATTCTGGTTTGTTACTTATTTTCTGTTGCCCAGCAAGATTTCAGGATAAGCTCAAGAATCTCGCCCTAAAATCCAGATTGTTCCTCCTCCAAAATCCCCCTAGGTTGCTTCTAAAATACAGCCTGTTTTTCCTTATTTTCCGACGAAATTCAGCCTTCTTTTTGGATCTTTCTCTATCCCGAATTTCTATTCTCATCTGATTTCATCCTTATCTTTCCTTGCTTGATAATTCAATCTTAGAAATTTCGCTCAAAGTAGTTGTTTTGTGGCTTATCGGCAAGAACAGTGAGAGAATCGAAGCTCTTTGCCCCCTTTTGTTTGTTTTGGTAAAGTTACAAAATGGTGTACTTCAAGGCCCACGATTATTTGTCTCTTTTTGGCCCAAGTATTTGTAATTTGCAATTTGATACTAATATTTTCCTTCCTACAGATAAATAAATAAAATAGTAGTAGCACGTGTCTCGGGAAGAAAATTACTTAATATATCTTAAAACCATTAAATATCAATATAAAATCGAGAGTTTAATGAAATAAAATAATATACTTTTATGTCCCTATCATTGCTGCCTATAGTTTTGCAGCTTAAGCCCACCTAATCTTGCACTTCAAACACCCTTTCAGACCTCCTCTTGTTAGCTTGAACCTTTATTCTTTGCTGAGCCTTAAGCAGATTATTTTTCAGCACCTGAATCATCTCTTCTCTCTTCAGCATACACCTGTCAACCACCATATTATGTGATTCTCCAGGCAAATAAGGGAGGTGCAGAGGGAGAGATTGATTATAGACAATCTTAAATGGTGTCATCTTGGCAGCAATATGAAAGTGTGTATTATACCACCATTCAACCATGGGTAAGTATTTACACCATTCCTTGGGACAATCACTTGACATACACCTCAAGTAGGACTCAAGACACCTATTCACCACTTTGCCCATTAGTTTCTTGATGGTAAGCAAAAGAAAGTAAGAATTTTGTCCCATGCAAAAGAGAATAGACCTTTCCAAAATTGGCTCGGAAAGACTGAGTCTCTATCACTCACAATACTTCTAGGCCAGCCATGTAGCTTGAAAACATGGTCCAACTACAACTGAGTTACTTTGATCGAAAGCAGTATAAGGATGTTTAAGTGACATAAAATGAGCATATTTGCCGAGTCTGCCCACCACCACAAAAATGACATTTTTGCTCATTAATACAGGTAAACCTGTAATGAAATCCATGGAGATGTCTATCCAGACTTGCTTAGGAATTGGAAAAGGCTGCAAAGTGCTTGGTTTTACTGCAGTATCATACTTAGAAGCTTGACAGATGGTGCATTTTCTCACAAATTGGCTAACATCCCTAGTCATGCCCTTCTAATAGAAAATACCCTGCATTCTTTTTAAAGTCTGCTCCCTGCTTGAATGCCCAGCTTCTAGAGATGAGTGTTGCCATTGTAAGAATTTCTTTTTCAAGTTCTCATCTGGCCTAATAACTATCTTTCCATGCCTTCTCAGCAACCCATCCTTCAGAGAAAAGTGAGGCACATCCTGGTTTTGACCAAGCTTCTACAAGATAGCTAGAGTATTGTCATCTAAGGCATAACTAGCCTGTATTCCTTGGGTTAGGTTAGAATCCACTACTGAAATTGCTGGAAACAACAACTCAGCATCTTGAATCCTTGAGAGAGCATCAGCTACTACATTTTCTTTCCTTGCCTTGTATTGAATTTCATAATCTAACCCCATCGACTTGGATAACCAAAATTGTTGAAAGGGAGTAGAGATTTTCTGCTGCAGCAACCATCTGAGACTCTTTTGATCAGTTTTGATAATGAAATGAGCACTAATCAAATATTGTTCCCACTTTGAACAGCAAAAACCATAGCCAACAATTTTTTCTCATAAATTGACAATTTCTGCCATTTTGGACCCAGTGCCCTGCTTATATAAGCTATAGGATGGTTGTCTTGAATTAAGACTGCTCCAATGCCACATTTAGAGGCATTAGTCTCTACTACAAACATCTTTGAGAAATCTGGAACAGCCAATACTGGTGCACTGGATAAAGCCTTTTTTAATTGAACAAAAGCCTTTTAAGGTGTATCAGTCCGCTCAAAAAGCACCCTTTTTAAGCAATTCAGTCAGTGGTTTGCTGATGACAACATATCCCTTGACAAATCTCCTATAATAACCAGCTAATCCCAAGAAACTTCTCAATTTCTTCATTGTAGCTGGACTTGGCCAGGAGTTAATTGCATTGATCTTGGTGGGATTAGTTTCAACTCCCTTCACAGAAATGAAATGCCTCAAGTACTCCACTTTTCTAGTCACAAAAGAGCATTTTCTTAGCTTAGCATAAAGTGAATGCTTGGCCATCAACTCAATACACTAGCCAAGTGTTGCCAATGCTCTTCCAAACTCTTGATGTATACTAGTATGTCATCAAAGAAGACCAGTACACATTTTCTGAAAAGAGGCTTAAAAACTGAGTTCATCCAACTTTGGAAGGACGAGGGTGCATTAGTTAAACCAAATGACATAGCTAAAAACTCATAATGGCCTTCATGAGTCTTAAAAGTTGTTTTAAAGACATCATTGGGATGAATTCTCAATTGGTGGTAACCAGCTCTTAAATCAAGTTTGCTGAACACAACTGCTCCTGCTAATTCATCAAACAACTCTTCCAAAACAAGGATAGGGAACTTGTTCTTGACTGTTCTCTTGTTTAGCTTCCTGTAATCCACACAGAGCCTCTAGGTACCATCTTTCTTTCCCATCAATACCAATGGAGATGCAAAAGGGCTGGAGCTATTCTGAATGACGCCTCTTTCCAGCATTTCATGGACCAACTGCTCTATTACATCCTTTTGCTTCAAAGAATATATGTAAGGCCTGATGTTGACAGCACCACTTCCAGGCTTTAATTAGAGGAATTCTGTGATCAAACATTCCCCTACTAAAAAAAAAATTTCTTATAATGTAGCTACAAACCAATCTTAGATATTGTTGATGAGCGTTGGGAGAATCAACTTCATAAGCCCCTCCATGCAGCAGCTTATTTTTTAAATCCACAATTTCAATATAAGCCTGATTTTCAAGCCAATGCTGACATTAAAATAGGCTTATATAATTGTCTGCAAAGAATGGTTTCTGATCCGGACGAAAGAATGATGATTGATTTACAAATGGATGCCTTTAAAAATGCCAGAGGGCTTTTTGGGTTGCCTACTGCTGTGATGACAAGAACAAAAAAAACTCCAGGTTTGGATTTTTGAGTATAAAATTACATCTTATTTTTAATTACATCAAATCTATTCCTAACATGCTATTTTGAATGTGCCTTAATTCATAAAGCTAACTGGTGGGATTCATATGGGGATGAATGTCCAAAGCTTAAAAACTTTGCCATAAGAATTTTAAGCCTCACTTGTAGTTCCTCAGGCTGTGAACAAAATTGGAGTGCATTTGAAATGGTAAAATACTATTGAATTTTTTTGGTACTTTATATTATACAATTTTGGGTAATTTGATGTCTTCTAAATTTTTTATTTATATGTAATTTAAACAGATTCATACAAAGAAAAGAAATCGATTGCATCAACAAAAAATGAACGATTTAGTTTTTGTGATGTATAATTTGAAATCAAAGCGAAGGCATGAGAAACGAGCAAGCAAGCCAATCACACAACCAATAGTTTTGGATGAGTTGCCGTCTGATGATGAGTGGATAGCAGAGGTAGAAGAACCTATTCTTCCAACAAATGATGCATGGTTCACTAATCTTGATAGAGCAGCTAGGAGATTTGCTAGAAAAGCTACAAGAAATGGAGATGAAATTCATGAAGACCATGATGGTGAGCAACTGAGCACAATCTTTTATTTTCCATTTCATTCAATTTTCATTACTTATAAAATCTTATCTTCTCCTCTTTCACCTTTTTAATTATTTTTGCCACATATTGTGTAGATGAAATCGATGAAGTAACAAATTTGAGCGACAATGATGATGAGATTGCATCAACTTATATAGGCTCAAATGAATTTAATGATGATGATGAATTTGGTGATGGCAACAACTTTGAAAATGAGCCAGCTAGTGTAGGAGGAACTGATGTTAGAAGTGATGATGTTGATTATGGCAATTTGAGTTTTGGATATGATGATTGATGAATATATTTTAATTAAAACTAAGATCTAAGTGTTTTGTAATTAAAACTATTTTATGTCATTATGTGTATTATTTTGTCATTGAACTCATAACTATTGCCTTGTTCTCAAGATTCTTATGTACAAATTTATTGAGAAAAATGTCGAAATATTAGCTATAATTAGCTTTTTAATAAAGTATCGCCTTTTTAATGAGTAAATCACCAAATATTTGCATTATTAGTCTTTTTTACAAAAATTATGATCCCACAACCATTTTATACATGTAATATGTCTTAAAATTGAAAATTGGTAGGATCGTGCGATCCCACGATCCGATCCTATCCTGATAGGCCTTTCCGATCCAAAGTAGAATCCCGATCCTTATAACGTTGGGTGTAACCTTCACACCCGTGAAAGGTTTACAAGTTCCTAAAACTTCTTGGCGACTCTTTTATCTCTAGCTTCTTTTCCTTGAAACGCCGCCATGTCTAAAATCATGAACCACAGTAGGGCTCAAAGATGAGTTTGAAAAATTCCCTACATAAACATTTAAGAAGAAATATAAACTATGGCTCTTCCTTCTAGTAGCAATATGTTAAACAAAACTTTGGGTTATGAATTTGTTCATAATATTAACCTTGAGGGTCACTGTGGGGGAATGTGGGTCTGTTGGAATTCCGCAAAAATTAATGTAACGATTGTTCAATTAAAATATCGAATTGCTTCACTTCTTATTCATGATTTATCTATGCATCATGTATTTATGTTATTTATTATTTATGCCCCAACTCAAACATCTCAAAAAGGCTTGTTTTGGGCAAAGCTTTTTAAGTTATGCACTAACTCTGCCCTCCCTTGGTGTATTATTGTAGATTTGAATGATCACTTTTTACTTGCTAATAAACAAGGTGGGGAGGCCTCTAATGTTGCTCGTTGTTTCTGTCTACATCGATTTGCTTAATTTTTTCAAGCATTTGTCGTTCACCCATTGGGAAACCAATTTTCTTGGATATGCTTACTAAACTCCATATTACATATGAACTTCTTGATAGATCGTTTATTAGTCCTCAATGGGATTCCTTATACCCCTCGATCTGCCACTGTTTTATATGAACATTTCTCCATTTCTGACCACACTCTTATTAATTTGGTTACGGATCATAATTCAACCCCGAAATTAACCTTTTTTAGATTTCAAAATGGATGGACTACAAACCACAAGAACTACTGCCTATACCACCACCCCATCCACCAAAACCTATCAACACCATGAACCTCGCCACCCCCACTCACCATTAATCACCATCACTATATCCACAATTAAAAACCACAAACCACCCTAAAAAAGCCCTACCTTTTACAAACTAAAATTATAGTTTTATTTGGTCAAAGTTAACCATGAAAACTCTAAATTTAGAGTTTTCATTGTTAAATTTAACCATCAAAATCTCACACTTGAAAGCTTTAATGGTGGTGATTAATTGAAACAAAAGGTGAAGGAAATAAAAAGAGAGGAGTGGCAACGACGATCAGAGAAGGGGCGGGGCGCGATAGCGATAATCGGAGAGTAAGGGTGAGGGTGGCAGTGGTTGTAATCAGATTGAAGGCATATGAGTGAGAAGAGAGTAGGAGAAAGGTCAGTGGGAATATATAAAATAAAAAAGGTACTTTTCAAAAAAAATTGAAAAAAAAATTGAAAAAAAAAAAATTTGAAAAGGAAAAGCATAAGATAACTGGTTGTTTAGGTAACACGTCATTTAATTTAAGTTCTGTTTTGTGGTTAATAAGATTACTCGAGACACAACGATCTGATATGCAACAACTGTGCGTACAAACACCTGCAAAACAACAATATCCAGTCACCGATATATTCGTCTTTAATGATTAAGTTAGTCACCAATAACAGAATATTTAAAGAGAGAAGTTAGAGAATTTTTGGGCAATCTATCTTATGTATGAAATGAATGTAATATTTTATCCATTAATGTTATCCCCCTACTAGGCGGTACGTTTGTAGGTTCATCAAACACACTAGAATACTTCTTTTTCAAGGCCCTGAATATCTCAGGTTCTGAAACTGCTTTAGAAACTTCCATTAGACAATTTGGAGTATTACATGTTATCATATCACTCAATTCTAGTAAACAAATGTGGGTTGCATTGGCCATACACCTGACTGAGGCCTCCTCTATCACTTTGATTTTCTTGACTGGTATGCCTTTAAGTTCAACTTCCTTTTTCTGAATGCAGAACCTCATAGTTAGCTGTCTGAAATCCTAAGAAATAGACTTTAATGTGCTGAGCCATTGAATCCCAAACACCATGTCACAGCTCCCCATAGGAATTAACATGACATCAGTCATAAACTCATGTCCTCCTAGACTCCATGCAAAATTTCTATAGACAGATTGACATAACAAGTGATTCTCATCTGCAACTAAAATGGATTGTCCCTGGATACTTTCAGTCACACACCCCAATTTCTTTGCCAAATGTATATCCAGGAAGTTATGAGTGCTACATGAGTCTATCAAAGTATGCAAAGGTACTCCATTGGCCAAAGCCTTCACTTTCATGGTATGAAAATTCTGGCTACTTGTTAAGGCATTTAAAGAAATACAGGGATCTTGAGTGATATCCTCTTCCAGCTCTTCTAACTAGACAATAGCAGCATCTGTCTTATCTAGACCCGGTATCTCAACTGTAAACAATTGTGGCTCCTTGAATTGGCATTTATGATTCCTATCATAAGGAGCATCACAATAGTAGCACAATCCTTTAGCAATTTTCTCAGCGCTCACATCAGCAGGTACATATTTGGGTTTTAAGTAAGATGTTATTTTGGAAGGGCTTAGTCTTTGGGTGCAGTAAGGGTGAGAGGTTTGGTTGGTGGTGTAGGAAGTAAAGGTGGTTTTGAGGAATTAGTTGTCAAGGAGTTCTGGTAAGGTTTAGTGGTATAGGGTTTCATAAATTTTGGGGAGTTTGCAGCAATCAACTCATCTTACAATCTAGCATATTCTACTGCAGCTATTACAGTTTGAGGTTTAAAGCCACTAACAAATGGCCTTATCCCAGGTTTAAGACCCCCAATAAAACTCTCCAACAAATACTTCTCAGGTAAGGCATAACTATTTTGCAGCATAATAGCTTTCAGATTCTCAAACTCACCTATATAAGACTCAATATTACCAATTTGCTGCAGCTTATTAAATTCTTCAACCACATTCACACCTACTTCATCCTTAAACCTTCCATTCACATCAATAACAAAATCGTTCCAATCTACTACAGATCTGGTAGATAAATAACTAGACACCCAATTTTCAACTTTATCAATCATATTAAGGGATACTAGATCCACTTTTTGATCATCAGGGTTCTTACAGAGAGTGAAATACTTACAACATTTCTTAATACACGGCCTAGCTAGGATTACTACCATCAAATTTAGGAAACTCAAGTTTAGGTATATACCCCAATTTAGATGATTGAATCGATCATCAGATCTAGGTGATCTGGCCTCTATCATGTTTTCTTTCAGTGATTGCATCATCTTCAGCAGGTCCTCAAACTTTTGAGTTGATGCTACAGTTTGAGCTTTGAGTCTCCTTTCCAATGCCTCAAGCTGAGCTTCCATTTTTGTTACTCGGTTAGTAACTATGGGTGCCAGAATGAGCAGTCAACAGAGAGAGCAACCTGGCTCTAATACCACTGATAAGGGAGGTTTAAGTAGCTGCTTAGTAATGCAGCAATTTGAGCAAACCAGAAAAACAGAGAATTAGAGGAATCAGAGGAAGAAGGAGAAAAAGAGATAATCGAGAGAGGCAGAGAGAGAGAGAGATAAGATTGTAATTATCATTATGCTTTGATTATTACAACCACTCATCCTTTATACTAGCTCACACAGCTCTAACAAACTTAGCTTCTCACTAAAACCAATAAAAGACATCTTTTACAAGAAAACGACAAAAAGAAAGGCCAACGAATTTCCCGCCAAAAATAACCGTTTGCAAAAACAGTCATACATACTCCCTTATCATAGTACCAAGCAAAGTTTAGTCTAGTGACTTTAGGGTGGGGATTACTTTCAAAGTGCCTACCTCGCTAATCCGAATCGGGAAGACATGTGACTGTGTGAGAGATTTTGACCCCTTTATCATACCAACAAAAGGCCCTCCATGTTACCAACAAAAAAAAAAAATAAAAAAAAAAAACCATATACGAGTGGCTAAATAGATTAATACAGTATCCCCTCTAAAAAAGAGAGATTAATACAGTAGATTTATCTAATGTACTTACTTATCTTAAATCGTTATTATTTCCTCCCTCTCCTCCTTTCTTCTCACAGGTCACTTTCTCCCGTCACCGATTTCCGGCCATTCTCTCACTCTCACTCTCCGGCGATTTTCTCTCTCCTTTTCTCAAATTCTACAGTCAAATTCCTTCCTTTATCTTCTTTGCAATTCCCAAATCATTTTCTCTCTTCACAAAAATCCCCATTTCCCCAATTCTCTTCCCATATAAACCCTAGATCTGATTTTGCATGACTGATTGGCCTGAGGCCAAATCACCTTCTTCGATCCAAATTCCTTTTCGAATCAATGGATCTTCAAATGGGTTTAGCTCTATGTTGTTGTAATTCGCTGTAAATTATACTCCACCCCTTTGTTTTTTCATTGTAATTGTAATTTAATCTCAATCTCGAATTGAATTGTTGAAAATGGACGGTGTTTCGGGTCCAGGCACGCAATCTCAACCTTCATTCGATAAATCAAGGGTTTTAGATGTGAAACCCTTGAGAACTTTGGTACCCATGTTTCCGAACCCACCTCAAGCTCCCCCTTTTGTGTGTTCATCCCCTTTTGGTCCTTTCCCATCTGGGTTTACCCCCTTTTACCCGTTTAGCATGGGTCCACCCGGTAGTCAGACCGCGGGCGAGGCGAGGAACCAGGATGGTGCTGCTGGTTATGCCACCCCTGCTGCCGCGGTGCCGTTGAGGTCATTTGGGACTCCTCAAATGGGTGCGCATTTTTCGAATGGTGATACGGGTTCTTCTATGGAAGCTTCGAGGGATATAAATTTCGGAGATGGCGGTGTTGGTACCGCGTCTGGGAGCAAGAAACGGGCAGCTAGTACTAAGGGTCTGTCCCCTGCTGAGGCGGCTGCTCAGAGGAAGGCAAGAAAGATTGCGAATGCTGCTGCTTCTGGTGATATTCGGAAGCCGAATTTGGCGAATGTGGTGGGTTTGCCTCAAGTGCAGAGGGAGGATGGTAATAGGGAAGTTGTTAATTATGTTATTATGAAGTTTGATGGTGTTCGGAGGCGGTTAAGCCAGCTTGAGGATTCGAAGGAGGCGTCAACGGGGTTGATTAAGCGTGCTGATTTGAAAGCTGGTAACATTTTGATGACTGCTGGGTTTCGGACTAATAGTAGGAAGAGAATTGGTGCTGTTCCTGGGCTTGATATTGGTGACATTTTCTTTTTTCGAATGGAACTTTGTGTTGTGGGATTGCATGCGCCTTCGATGGCTGGTATTGATTACATGACTGTTAAGACTGATGCTGAAGATGAGCCACTTGCTGTTAGCATTGTGTCATCGGGCGGGTACGACGATGATGCTGAAGATCAGGATGTTTTGGTTTACACAGGTCAAGGTGGTGGAAATTACAATAACAGTGGTAAAGCAGCCTCTGATCAGAAGCTAGAAAGGGGGAATCTTGCTTTGGAGAAAAGTTCTCGACGAGGGAATCAAATTCGGGTGATTAGAGGTATCAGGGATACTTCGAATCCTTCCATTAAGATATATGTTTATGATGGGCTTTATACTATTCAAGAGTCCTGGATTGAGAAGGCGAAATCGGGTGCTAATCTTTTCAAGTATAGGATGGTCAGGTTACCTGGGCAGTCTCCAGGTTTTGGGGTTTGGCAATCTATTTTGAAGTGGAAAGAAAGTGTGTCGTCGAGGCCGGGATTGATTCTTCCTGACCTTACTTCAGGTGCTGAAAGTCTGCCTGTATCGCTTGTTAATGATTTCGATAACGAAAAGGGGCCTCCTTACTTCACCTATCTACGCTCAGTTAAGTATACAAAGTCCCTTAACTTGTCTGAGCCTACTTATGGGTGTAATTGCCATAGTGCTTGTGCTGCAGGTGATCTTAACTGCTCTTGTATTCGTAAGAATGGCGGTGATTTCCCGTATACTACGAATGGGGTGTTTGTGAGCAGGAAACCACTTGTTTATGAGTGTGGACCGTCGTGTCCATGCTTTCCTAATTGCAAGAACAGAGTGTCACAGAGTGGTTTAAAGGTTCGACTGGAAGTCTTTAAGACTAAGGATAAAGGTTGGGGCTTGCGCTCTTGGGATGCTATTCGATCGGGGACTTTCATTTGTGAATATGCTGGTGAAGTGATTGACAAAACCAAGTATGATAGAGATGAAAGTAGCGATGGTGGTGACTATGTTTTCGATACTAGTCGTGAATTCGATAAATCATTTAAGTGGAACTATGATCCTCCGTTGGTGGGAGAGGATACAGCTGAATTGAGTGAGGATTATGACATTCCTACTCCATTGATCATTAGTGCCAAAGATTCTGGGAATGTTTCTCGCTTTATGAACCACAGCTGTTCTCCTACTGTTTTCTGGCAGCCTATTGTGTATGAGCAGAATGGGGAGTCCCAAATTCATATTGCATTCTATGCGATGCGACACATTCCTCCCATGACTGAGCTCACTTATGATTATGGTATATCTCAGTCCGAAAGTAGGAGGAAGCGGTGCTATTGTGGCTCACCAAAATGCAAAGGCTATTTCGGTTGACACTTCTTATGGTGTTAACTGCAGGTATGCATGCCATTTTGCAATAATCTACTAGAAATTTATATTTTCCTATCAGATTAATTAGTTTCTGTTACAAAGGTCTTGTGTTGTTGGACCCATAGGAAAGTGTTTCTCAGTTGTATCATCTAGGTCTTATGCTGTTTAGCAACTGATAGAGACTAAATTTATTTGTTTATTTCCTTTGCCAATACATCTGTTATGAGTGTTGTGGCCTCCAGCAGAGCTATGCTTTGTGGCTATTCTGAGATTAGATGATACAGTGAACAGATTGGAAGATTATATTTTTCTCAATTGAGTCTTTGATTATGATCTTTCCTTTTTTCCTATAGTGCTGTTCATAGCAGATGCTGTTGTTGTGCAAAGTGTCATGATTATTATGCCATTTTTGAAGTATATTTGATGTTAATGTGCTCACCAAATTCTGATGGAATTAATGTTCTTCGAGTCACCTCCAGGGGCTTAGCTGCTTTTTTACAGGTGTTTGCATTATGCTTTTTAGCATTTTATACACCAAGAACAATGACCCTATAGCTTTGTCCCATACCTCACACTTGCCAGTGACTTTCTTATTTCTTAGAATACACCCTTCGCAAAACAGTGTGGGAAAGCTTCTTATTGAGAAGAAAGGAGGATAGCAAAGAAAACATAAAAGTAAAACAGTGGATACTGAGAAAAAAAAATCAGTAGTTAGTTTAGTGATAGTGTGATATTGACATTTGAGGTGTTGGGAGTTTAATTTGTGGTTAATTATGATTTATGAGTATGACAATCCGATGGAGGGATTTGGTTAGTCATTCAATGGAGCGTAAAGATTGGTCTGGAAAATGCTTTGATGTTGCATGGACATAATGTGGTTTCAGTTTATCTTGTATGATTCAAGCCTTATTTTCCAAATTTGTTGACATTGAGCTAATTGACCAAACATCCCTTTTCCTTTCAGCTTTGCTCCTTCTATTCACTCTTCTGTCCTGGAGTGACTTTGGACTTTTAATTAGTTTTTATTACATCTATTTCAATTTTACTTGTTGGGTACTGGGGCTTTTTGCTTCAGTTTTGTGAATACCTAATATGACCCATTTGTCCATCTTGATTAGGCAGAACTTGTTTGCCGTGAAGTGGCATTGCATAATGAATTCAAGCAATATTTAGAACCTTTTTTAGCTATCAGTTCAGATTTGGAACAATGAGGTTATTTTATTATGTATATGAAAGAAATGGTTATGATTTAGCAACGCAACTATTCCGTATTAGGAAAGTCTCTCTGAAGAGTAAGTACATTAAGGGCTGCTTGGTCCATGACCCGAGAAAGGAGTGGAATCATGACCCGAGAAAGGAGTGGAATCAAGAAAAAAGGGATAAAAATAAGAAACAGAAAATCTTGTGATTTTTTCTTTATATTGCTGGCTAAGAGAAGGGTTTCAAAATTCTATAGTTGTGTTTGGTAGATGAGTGGTATTAAACCCCATCTCTCTCTTTCTGTTTTCCGGTTTTCCCAGTCTAATAGCTCCTCCATACTCTCTTCCCTTACCAGTATTATTCACTGCCATATGCTTATCCATCGTTGCACTGCCTTACCATCTAACTGCCATATCTGAATTAAGACCTTCATACTGCTGTTTTATTGCTGGTTCTCAACTATTGTGTTTGGTGGTCTGAATTGGCCAAATGGCCATCTGAAGTCATATAACGGGGTTTTTGGATAATATATGCCTCTTTGTGGCTTTCAGTGGTCCTAATTTACATTTTGTGGTTTTGATGTTATTTTCTGCCCTTTTAAGCTGAAAGCTGAAATTTTTAGGATCAATTTTGTTTGTTTTGGAGAGGAATTTCGAGTGATTATGGTGCTATTTGTGGATCACTATAGCAGCAAAAATGTTATAAAAAAAGATGCTGCCTTTATTTACTGTTTGTTGTTGCAGTGGTGTTGGGGCAGACATTCTCTGAGGTTGTTGGTTGAGATGGCAGTAACCGGTAAGGTATCCAGTGGTGGCGCCAGTCATGAGGCTGTTGGGTTGCTGGTGGGGAGCAGCGTGGCTTGGGGGGTTTATGATGGCTAATGGTGATGGTCAAGACTCAGAAGTATAGGATTTAAGGGGAATTGGAAATCTTTGGATTGGTGTGGTTGCAATCTTGGAGGGCAGAGAGGGGTGGGGGATGGGTAGTTAGCTTAGTTTTAAAAGGTGCGCTTAAGGCGCAAGGCTCACAAAGGCGCAGGTCAGTGAGCTTTAACCATTTCAGGCGCAAGCTCCTACCAAAAGTGCGCGCCTTGGTGCGCCTCAGACTGCCTTTGCCAAGGCGCAAGGCGCTGCGCCTAGGTCGCTTAACAGTCAAACGCAAGAGAGAATGAAGATTTGAGTTAAATCTACAGAAAAAGACCAAAATTTTTGCAAATTAAAACTTACCCAGTCTTTAGTTTACAATTTTGAACAAAAACCCTCAATTAGCATGAATTAGCTTAAATTTTACCCCCAAATCAAAAGCCCTAAATATAAGAAACCCTAATTTGCGAATTCTGAAATAATTGGGGAAATTAGCTGTGATTCCGGTGGATTCCGGCACCGGAATCATCGCACTATCGCCGGCAAGCTCTCTCAGGTCAGTCTTCCTTTTTTCTCTTTCTTCGATCTTTTTTTTTTCTCCTTCTTCGAACCTCTTTCTATCTTTCTCTCTCTTCACACCCATTTCTGATGCTTCTGTCCACCTTTTTCCTTTTTTTTTGTTTTCCTTTTGAGACTTTATACTCGCTTCATTTCTTTTTTTTTCTTTTTTTTTTTTTTTTTAAAAAAAGTCTGTTTTAAAAATAAATTTGAGCTTTTTATTTAACCAATTTTTATTTTTTCTTTTCCCTACCTTTTTAAATGTTTGAGTTAACTCTTTTGAATAGTGTTTGGGTAATTATTTAAAATGTTTATTTATTTATGTGCCCTCGTTAATGTTAATTGCCTCTTTTTTTAGCCCTTTAGAATAGACATTTATGTCCCTCAAAATATTTGTTTATAAAATTTCCCTCATTAATCCTACCAACAACTAAAGTTATGACATTAAGGCTAAATCGAAATAACTTTCCGGACATGGCTAGCTAGCGCGCGCATTGGCCACCCTAGTAACATATATAATACTAAGAAATCAGTAAAATATATATGTAAATTAAAAATTCTGCGTCTCATATACGAAAGGCGCACGCTTGCGCCTAGGCTCCAGGGACCTTTTGCGCCTCGGTGCGCCTCGCGCCTTTTAAAATTAAGGTAGTTAGTAACTTAGGATGGTTAAGGTGGTTGTCAAACCTGTAGAGAAATTTTGGGGAATTGAAATTCCGGAGTAGTTAGGAACTTAGGATGGTTAAGGTGGTTGTCAAATTGCGCGCGTGGACCACCCTAGTAACATATATAATACTGAGAAAGCAGTAAAACATATATATAAATTAAAAATTAAAAATTCTACGTCTCATATACGAAAGGCGCGCGCCTGCGCCTAGGCTCCAGGGACCTTTTGCGCCTCGGTGCGCCTCGCGCCTTTTAAAACTAAGGTAGTTAGTAACTTAGGATGGTTAAGGTGGTTGTCAAACCTATAGAGCATTTTTGGGGAATTGAAATTCCGGAGTAGTTAGGAACTTAGGATGGTTAAGGTGGTTGTCAAATCTTTAGAGAATATTTGGGGAATTGAAAATCTTTTGGAGATAGGAAATAGGATGAAGAGACATATACCTTTTCCTTTCTCTTTTTTAAGGATGATTCAAAAACGGGGAAAGTAATCATACCCTTTATTCTGTTATGATTTCAGTTTGAACCCTGACCCCCTTAAAAAAGAGAAAAGAAAAGGTATCTCTGAAAGATTTTCAATTCCCCAAATATTCTCTAAAGGTTTGACAACCACCTTAACCATCCTAAGTTCCTAACTACTCCGGAATTTCAATTCCCCAAAAATGCTCTACAGGTTTGACAACCACCTTAACCATCCTAGGCTCTAGGGACTCGCGCCTTTTAAAACTAAAGTAGTTAGGAACTTAGGATGGTTGAGGTGGTTGTCAAACCTGTAGAGCATTTTTGGGGAATTGAAATTCTGGAGTAGTTAGAAACTTAGGATGGTTAAGGTGGTTGTCAAACCTTTACGGTGTGTTTGGATGGAAGGAATGGAGGGAAAGGAAGGGAAATGAAGAGATGGGGTATCTTTCATTTGGATAACAAATGAGGAAGGAAGGGAATTGGAGGGGAGAGAAATGGAGGGATTAAATTGTAGGAAATTAATCACTCCAACAGTGGAGAGACTTGGAAGGAAAACTCACCATTCTTCCTTCCCCTCCCTTTCTCTCCCCTCCTCTTCTCCTCTCTCCCCTTCTTTTCCTTTCCCTTTCTTTATCCAAACATACTGTTAGAGAATATTTGGGGAATTGAAAATCTTTCGGAGATAGGAAATAGGATGGAGAGACATAAACCTTTTCTTTTCTCTTTTTTAAGGGGGTCAGGGTTTAAGCATCAACTGAAATCAGAACAGAACAAAGGGTATGATTACTTTCCCGGTTTTGAATCATCCTTTACCAAGCAACCTGTTAATGCTTTACTTTTATCCCTCTGGCCCTCTGGGTTATCTAGTTCTTGAGCACGTGATGGCTGGTAAGGTGTTGCCCAGTTATTGGCCAGTTCCCTATGTATACTTAATTTTTTATTTGCTTAAGGCATCACGGTGCAGATGAGAACTCCCATTTTATGTTTTTGCTTTCTAGTCAGATATTTTCTCAAAAATATATGTAATGTTGGCATGTTTTAGTTGCTCAACTCTCATAGACTTCATATATTGACTCTTGACTAATGCTGAGTATATTTGTAACTGTGACAGAAGTAGGACATCTAGAGTTTCTTTTGTGTTTTGTGGATATTAAGGTCTTGTTAGGGTGAGCAATTAATGTAGATTGCTGGAAATTTTTATACTATGTATATCCTGTGGAATTTTTGGTGTATTTTCATGCAACAGAAAGTGATGATGAATATAGTTGGTTCAATTTTGGTTTGGTTGACTTATTAGGTTTGCTTTCCTCTTAATAGGTATATCTATTTTCAACGTTGTATATGTTTGATGGCCTCATAGGTGTTTGTTGTGTGCTCATGTTGGACATGCTGAGTGCTAATTTCTTTGCTTAGGCATTCTGAGTATGGCTAGTGTTTATACATTCATTGTTTTAAAAGCTTTTGGGCATGTTTGATCACTTAAGCTCTTTGCTTCTATAGCAATTCTCAAAGAGATTGTGATGACATTGTATTGTAAGACCCAAAAGAAAGGGAGATTTTTTAGACCACAGTTAATTGATTCTGGTTGCAAGGATTTGTAAGTTGGGAGGTAGAATCTAGTTGAAGATTCTACGCTCCTGAAGTCCTGAACTATTGGGTTGGTTATTGTCAACTACCTTGATAGGCCCACTCAATGATAAGTTGTTCTCTGTTACTGATGTTGCATAATTTTATTCTCTTTTTTGCTAGTTATTTATATAATATACTAAGATGAAGTCCAATAAATTAGGTTTTTCCTTCTGAATTCTTTCCTAAACACATTAATGTAAGTTATTGCACTGGAATGATAAGCATGAGTCTTATTGAACAGTAATAATTTTATATCAAAAATGTGATTTATAATGAAAACATGTGACTTAACAAATATTTACTTGAAAATTACTTTAATATATAAAAGGCTACTATTTTTCCATGTATTAATGTTTAAGAAACAAGCTATTTGTCATTTTGATTGTGTAGCTGTTGATGCAATCATGCAATTGCCAGTTTATTGGAAGTTGTACGTGGTATGTGTGTGTGTATTTTTTTTTGGTAAAAATTGGAGAACGCAATCTTGCAATACCTTGGGCATTCAATGTCCTGCCCCATGAGGGTTCTAATGATATTTTTATCGGATACCTAACTATGAATTTGATAAATGCTGCATTCATAATTTTTTTTTTGGCGGTCTTATGTTTGATCTTCTATTGATCACTTCATTTCATATATCCCACAATAACTCTGCAACTACATGTTAACAGGTTAGCTATCTTTGGAAGCAGCTCCGCCCGTTGGGATGTAATTATCTGCTGTGACAGAGGTTCAGTTTTGTCATCATCAAATGCTTTGTGCTGCCGATATTCTCAATGTGCTTCCTGACTTCTATCTTCTTTCCTGCTCAGAGTAGTTTAGTTTGTAGTATCGTAGCTTTTGAAGCTCTTGTTGAAGATATGTATATCATTATGTTAGTTTATGTAATGTAGCTGTAGCTGTAGTTTGTTGGTGCCGGTAGCCCATATTCTGGCAACCTATTAGCTTTCTGCCCATATTTGGTTGTCATCTTAGCTGAACTTTTTTCCTGTACTGTAAATGTGTCCTTGGTGGATGGGCGTCTGGGATTTTATGATATATGCAGTGTTTTGACTTTGTTTTCAATTATTGCTGTTTCTTGTTCTTGGCTAAATAATTGGCTGTTTGAATTTGGACGAAGAAGAAGAAACCAGTTGGCCGGCGTGTTTGGGTTCTTGTTTTGTTTGCATATGAGGTTGTTGGCTTGGTTGTGGAAAGCCTTGAAACAGAAGTTGAAGTATGAAGTTCATGGTCTATCATGAATACTAACTCCTTGTGCGTTCGGAGTTTGTAAGAGAATCTGAGAGTGCTACTGATAATGTGTATGTTATCGTCAATAGCTAGAACTGTTGTACTATACTTCCGACATGTATGTTGATGAGACATATTTCGTACAGATCACTATGTAACTTGTGGCTCGGGTTGCTGATTACTTGTGTGAGTATATCTCCGTTTGCTTGAGACCTCGCCTAGATATTGCGACTTGGTTATACGTGAGATGAACTGAAGATTTAGCTTCTTAAATCACTATATGAGTTTTCTTTGTACTTCATATGTAATTATCAAATCTGTTTTTAGCCAAAATTACTCTTGTGAGTTTTTGAATGAAACAATCGCACTCAACTCACACCTTTTCCACTCGGTGAATAAAGGAAAACCAGGAGCACAAAATTATTTTTTGATAGTACCTTGAAGAAAGGTCTCCTAAACATTCCTCGTACTTTTACATAAAAAAAAAAAAAAAAAAAAGGACGACATAGGAGCAAGAGCTTGAAACTACAATCCGGAGATTACTGGTGATTGAGGTGATGGGATCAATGGAGAAACAGTCTTCTGTGGATGATGAGTAAGTCCCTCCATCGCCATTCGGGCTCTCAACTCCTGAGATATGGTTGAAAAATCTGTTTCGAACAATCCTCCATCGAACACACTACTAAACAAGCACTTACTTCATTGGAGTTGTGTAATTAGTTTTTTTATTTTTTTTGGGTTGTTAAATACTGCCCTTAAATCTCTAACTAACGCTCGCAAAATAAAATATGTTTACAAATTTACCCTCATAGATTAAAAAAAAAAAAAAAAATTATCCCCCTCAAACATTATTTACCTACCCTCACTCCCTCTTCTCTCTCTAAACCACCACCACCACCTAAAAAAAAAATTTACCCCCCTCACACATAATTTACCCACCCTCACTCCTTCTCTCTCTAAACCACCACCACCACCACCTCCTTTTACCACCGGCCACTACCATCACCACCATCTCCTCTTTTAACATAATTTAAGCTCCGGTTTCTCGATCTACACAGCCCCTGATATGACGAGGAAGGACAAGGGGAAGGCGGTCGTGGGAGACAAGGTTGGTTGGTTTGTTTTTTTTTTTTTTTTTTTTTTTTTTTGAAATCGGGTTCAAACGTCGCGGTTTTTCGAACAACCTAGGCTCAAACGCCTAGTTTGTTCGAAAAACCGTATGGTTGTACGAAAGATTTGGGCGGTTGAGATGAAACACCTAAAAAATTTGAACAACCACACGGTTGTTCGAACGAACTAGGCGTTTGAGCCTAGGTCGTTCGAAAAAACAGGGCGTTTCCTGGTTTTTTTTTATTAATTATTTTTTTTTTAAAAAATTTGTTTTTTTTAAATGATTTTTACTGTTATTGTTTTTTATTATTATTCTTGTCATTATTATTAGAGTTTATTATTGTTTTAGATTTGTTTGGAAAGAAACAAATTTAAGCATATTGAGTTTGTTTTAATCCAACTGTTTTTGTGAATTTGGGTGCAAAGTTTTGTTTAGAATTATGGTTTGCATTCTTGCAAATGCTGTGATTACTGTATGTTGTGGCAAAACAATGTAGGATTATTTAAGTATAAAAGTTAGTCAAGAATGGATCGTAGTTTGTTAGTTTTATATCAATGCCATTTTAAACTCATCAGATTAAAAAGCACAAAGTATTATTATATCTCATTAGTTTTTATTATATCTCATTAGTTTTTATTATTAATATTAGTTTTATATCTTTTGTTTTCAATTGTTTGCATCACCTATTTTATTTTTATTATAATATTAAAATTTATTCTAAATTTAGAATGTAGTCTAGGGTTCTGGTCCACAGCATGCTAGATCGCGCGGTATTAACGCGTCGATTAGGAGAAACAAGAGGATTAGTATACAAAAGGTAGTTCAGTACCGGAGCGCAACAGGGTAGTGGATGATTCTGGTACTCATTTGGATGAGCGGGAGGGAGCTGGTGGTTGGCCTAATGCTTTGTTGAGGACTCCTGGCTCGGATTTGGGTTCGGGTTTGAGGTACGAGGATGATGGACCTGAGGATGATGAAGATGAGGGTAAGGCTAATGTTGAAGAGCAGCCGCCTGTCGTGACGAGAGGTCCTGATGGGAGATTTACGAGTTCCCGATCACCTCGATCTGCACCGTCTTAGCTTGTTCAGGGGTTGATGGACGGTGGGCCTGAGGATGGGAGCGTTATTCCTAGTTTCGGGGCCCATGTTGCTCGATATATTTGGGATGGCAAAGATCGACGGTTTTTGCGATGTCATACTAGAGCTGGTGTGTGTAGAGACTTGATTGACTGGCTAGAGCAATTTACGGCTGCCACTACTACGCGGATACGGCAGACTGGGTTGTCACACCTGCCTAGCATTATGCACGACCACCTTGATTTTCCGCTTATTTCTGCTTTTGTTGAGAGATGGCAGTCATACACGAACATATTCCACCTACCTTTTGGTGAGATGACCATCATGTTGCACGACGTACACCACATACTTCGTATTTGGGTTAATGGGGATATGGTTGCCGGTGATCTCCCTAGTGACCAGTATAGGACATTAGTAGCTGGGTTGTTACAGTTGACTCCGGAGGAGCTACAGGTCAAGAATCAGAACGTCATCTACAGGAACGGTAGCGTCCATACTAACCAGATTATTGCTAGGTGTCGTAGTGAGGAACAACTGGAGGCGGTTCAGGTCATTGGTTACATGTGGGTCCTTTTGGGTAACACGCTCTTTACTGACAAGAGCGGTACCCGCAATCACCCTTCTTTTCTCAGTGAGTTGTGTATAGAGGATAACCTGGAGAGGTTGACGAGATACTCCTAGGGTTCAGCCACACTAGCGTACTTGTATAGTCAGCTCGGGCATGCCACCCAAAATGGATGTGATTCTATCGCAGGGTTGTCTGACTCTTCTACAGGCTTGGATATACGAGTACTTTCCATGTTTTTGGCCTCACCAGGGTGTGTTGACACGAGACGTCCCTCATGCTTGTGCAGGGTTATGGGATGTTGGTATGATGCGGAAGCATCAACATCGTCTCGTGTCCTTTCGTACTCGACTTGACCAGCTGGGTGACCATGAGTTATAAATAGATACGTAATTACTATTTGTTTTATATTGCTTTTATTTACAGTTGATTTACACTTGTACTAATTTGCAGGTATGCTGGTTGCCGTACGGAGCTTTTCCTACACAACAGGTGCCTAGGACTATGTTTACGGGATGTATTCGCTATCGGGGCATCATAGAGCCATATATGCCCGATCGAGTTGTTCGACAGTTGGGGTCTATACAGGAGATTCCCGGTGACATGATTAGGCCTGATGATGCTCAGAGAACACTTAGTGTGAAGTCTTATAGGGTCAGTTTTTCAGCTCAGATGATCACTCTCATGTGGGATAGATTTGTCCCCGGTGCTGCGTTCAGTCTTCTGCATGGTGGATATACTAGAGTTCCACGTGGTGGACATGCTTGTGCCCCTGACTACCTACCATGGTTTGGAGAGTTAGCTATCCTATTGTCACTTCTAATGTTGAGGATGATGTCGGTCTTCCGGAGAGGACCAACGTTGATTACGTAAGTTTTTTGTTAGTTTTTTTTAATTTAATTTTTTTTTCCTATTATTACTGTTAATGGACACCAGAGCAATGTTGGAGCAGGTGATTGCTGATTGGAATGCAATAAATGGACTTAGAGATTAGTTGTTATATGTATTTTAGCTTTAACTTTGTTGTTTTATTAGGCTGTGTTTTGGATGTTGTTAGTGGACATTTATGTTTTATCACATTAGTTGGGAATTATCAAGTTGACATTTATATATTAGTATTTTATTTTCTAATTACGTAGTACTTACTTAGTAAATTTTAGTAGAATTGCTTAAAATAAATTAAAAAAATAATCATGTTTATTAATAAAGTTATATAAAGTTTAATAAAAATCCATAACAGTACTCAACGGTACTCAAGAGCTAACTAATGTCTTCCACAATTGAAGCCTTCTCTCGTACCTTGCCTCCCATCTGTGTACACTTGCCTGTCGAGTGTTAAACCACAATGGTGAAATTGGAGGAAGTGGGTGGTAAGGATCCATATGCAAACGAATGAAATGCGATCCACTAATAGTTCCAATCACGAACTCTGCACTAGCCTTGTCTAAGCGTCCACGATTGTTCAACGGTAAAACAATGGTAGATAGATAGTAGCTCGATGGTCTATTTCCTACTCCATAACAAATCACTACCACATTCCATATTGTGGCAATAGCAAAAAAATCCTGGTGTGCTACCATCCAATGCTCCTGTCCACCACGCATCACCATCCCATCTGATCTGGTCTACCTCCCTCTGCAGTCCTGAACTAACCTGTTGACCCCATATTTCGTAGTAAATCATGCTATACAGCCAAGGTTGAGAACCAACCTCATTTGCGATATGATGTCCTTAACACCTACAACGTAAGGCCAAATGATGTTGGGAATCGCGTAGCTGTATCTGCATTGTCGTATGTCAAACCCGGTACCTACAAAAAAAAAAAACATAATATGACATATAATTAAGTTATTACACAAAATAAATTAAAATATACGACGTATAAAAAATTATTTAATTAATTATATCGATAATCACCTATATCAGATGGGGGTGGTCTACTTCTGGATCGATTATCTCGCCCATTACATTGAACATGCTCGAAAAACGAATGATCTCACCTGTTCCTTCTCTCGGGAGGTCGTCCCCTTACTCGGGGGTTGACTCGAGGCTCCTAAAGGTCATCATAGTTAGGATCCATCTCACCCTCAATCACTCGAGACACGTGCCTAAGCATCACAGGGTCGCTGGCAATAACCCGATCAACAAGGGTGCGGAAATAAGCTCGATCCTCATCATTTTCATCAACTATATCAGGAATGTCGACAACCGCTCTAATGACAAGGGTTCTCCAATATGGATGAATGTTCTTCGTATACAACCTCTTCCCTGCAGTAATCAAGTCATATATTTGGCACGCAGAAGGTAACCCGTGGGTAGTACGTAGAGCACACCCACAACGTCGATGGACATTCGTACTCAACCCTCTCATCCTATTCGTCTCACCGAGAAGAATAGACAGACAATAGTGGGATACCTTTCCGTTGAGCTGATGCAAAGGCTTCTGCTTGTACTTCTGACCATGAGTTGCTCTACATGCCTCCAACCCATTACGAATGGCTATGATCTGGTTCTCAATCGAGCAGTGCACCTGAGCCCAAACTGTGTCTGAAGAACCTATAGAATTGTCAATCCAACATTTCAATGCCGAATGCTAGCTCTCAAACCTGCAGTTGTTAACATTGTCGAAGTGCAGTACCTAGTTCGTCCAAAACATCACAAACTTCTCCTTGTGTATGAGCCAAGTGTCCACAACATATTCAATCACTTTCGGCCATCGACCCCACTTGATTTTCAGCTCTACAAGCTCTCTTTCATACGCCTCTTCAGATGTAGCATTAATCACATGCCTCCACCTCCCATTTTTGAACTTGACACCAATCTCCTTCTTTTTTTTTTTCAAATATGGAAGTAACCTTCGCCTCAACATCTTTGTTAATATGCCACACACACAACATGTGTCTTGTGTTTGGAAACACGCTCTTCAACGCTGCACAAAGGCCAAGCTCCCTATCTGTTAGTAGTACTGACGGCTTTCTACGATGACCGATCAACAACCTCAAGCACTGAAGCACCCACCGATAACTTTCTTCGGACTCCGACCTCATGAATGCGTATGCAACAAGAAAGTTTTGATTTATCGGTGTAACCCCAACAATCTCAAAGAATGGCATGCCGTATCGGTTCATCTTGTAAGTGGAATCCACACCTATCACGTATGGGTATGTGCGTAGAAAGTTTGTCATGATCGGGTGTGCCATGAAAGCATGTTGCAACACATTGTTGGTATCAGTCATAACCCAAGTGAGGTAATTGCTCTGTCTAGCCAAATGAAGCACCTGGTGAACCACCTCGCTTCCCTCGAATCGCTCCATTCTGATATTACTTCTGCAGTTGTAGACATGCCTGATGTTTAGATGGTCTCCGGGAAACTTTTCTACAAGAGTTCTCATGATATGCCGAGGTGGCACCTGTGCCTGAGTCATGTCACGTACTACCTGCTTAGCAGCAAGACTAAGACCGCTGATTTGTCGATGTCCCACGGGATACACAGCCAAAGAATGATTGTGAGCGTCGTTCAAGCAACTGATCTTCCAACCACTTACTACTCTGACATACTCAACCTTGAGTTTGAAGGGACAAATGTTTGCCTTGCTTTTCATGTCTTTGCGTATGGTGTTCATCATGTCTCTTATCATGCTCTTTTTTCCACGATCACAACTCACATATCGATACGGCCGACCACTCTGACCGGTCTTGTAAGAAGCCTTCACTAACATAAATCCGAGCGAGCGACAAACATTTTGTGCCCACAGAACATCATCCTCAAAACTCGAAAACACGGTGTCTGTCAAAAAATGTCCGCTATAGTCCACACCATCACCATCCTCGGACTTAGAATCCTATATAATAATAATAACATTAAAAACAAATATTAATAAAAGTGGAGAAACAACAAAAACACAACTAATAATAATAATCTAACAACGCACAACTAACTAATAATAATAACAACTAATAATAATAATAATAATAATAATAATAATAATAATAATAATTCTAACAATACACAACTAATTATAATAACAACTAAAAGGTGTGATCACGCACTTCTAAACAATTGAGAATTTTATAACTAGAGAAATTAATTAAGTAGAGTAATTCAAAATGACCCTCTTAAACAAATTCGTAGTATATAACTATAATTTCTTTTTTCTCTATAGTATACTTTAATTGACTATAAAAAATCAAAGGACATAATATAAATTAGTTATGATGATCTTGCAAATTAGAATATTAGTCTAGCAAATTTCATAACTTTGAACAATTCATCTTTTCTAATTAATGAGACAAAAATTGTAAAGTTAAAACACTATTATAGTTGATCTTCCCAGGCAAACCAAAAAGAAAATAAATTCAAAATTTCCCGGTAAACGCCCAGAAATTTCAAAAAATCTAGGTAGAAACGCTTAGTTTCTTCGAAACTGCCTAGGATGTTCGAAAAAACTACGCGTTTCTGCCTAGGTTTTTCGAAATTTCTGGGCGTTTGCCTGGGACTTTCGAAAATAAAAAAATTAAATATTCATACCGATTCCGTACGGTCCGATGAGCCTCCGGCGAGCAAAGTAGGTTTTCGTTGTCTTCCATGGGGTCCAATGAATTAGGTTTTGCAAAATTTAAATTATTTGTTTGATTTTGAGAATTACAGTGGTTGGTGGTTCAATGTGATCGTTGGTGGCCGGTGAGCACTAGAGAGAACGGTAAAATTTTTTGTGTAAGGTAAAAGTGTTAAGTTTAGGTAAAAATAATTATTTTATAATATTTTTATAACAAGGCTACGTACGTCATTTTAGGTTATTTTGCAGGTGTTAGTTAGAGATTCGAGGGCGACGTTTAGCGACCCAATTATTATTTTTATTTTTTTTTATTTTTACAAAGAGAATTTCATAAATAAAAGCAGTAGACAAATTACATCCACAAACAGCAAAAGGAAACCATGAGCAATGTAGCTACGGCAACACATCTAAACAAAGCCACATACATGGCTTGCCACTTACCAACGGAGGAAAAATGAAGTGAATGATAAAACCAGAAATGCCTTGCACCATACCATTTAAGTCGAAGCTTGGACAACCAAAAGAATCCTACCAAATCCTTATTGTGGACTGAAAGTTGCCAATGAACTATGTACCTCGAAATGGACATCGAGTGCAGGTTGAAAGTAGTGAAGGGAATCCAAATAGTTTTATGTTGTATGAATTATTACAAGAGATTGGTTGAGGTACATATAAGAATTTGGTTTTCTTAAAGAAAAAACTCTTCCTCCTCTTGGCCATTTTTACAATGATGTTTACATTTAAAATCTCATGGCTATTAAAAATGAGTTGTGCCCGGTTAATATGCCATATTAACAAACTTTGTTAATATTGTAACATTTTCGCAATTATGAGCGTTGGAGTGAAATATTTTAATGTTATTCTATTGTTTTGGTGATGTGGCAATTAACTTGAATTTTTCTAATGTTGAACGATTGTTTGGGACCCCGGTTCAACCCCCGTTCTGAAAATCCCACTTTTTGGAAAACACGAACTCCCTCTTCTCCTCTTATCTTCTATCAGATGATGTGTTAGAACTCCACCAAATTGGAGCGCCGAGCGATAGAGAAAGCATACAACATACAGAGGGTTGTGATGTCTGAATTCGCCATTCCACTAATTTGGAGCTTCTTTGCTGTCGTGATCCTTTGGAAACCCTAGTTGTACATTGCTTAGTTGCCGCCGCCACCAACTCAAACCCTGGAAACCGTAGTTGTAGCTTGCTGATTCGCCGCCACCATAAATTCCAATTCACCACCACGGTAGATCTATATTAAATTCGAAGCGCTGAGCGATACGACTTGGAGGAGATGAAGTTCTCGAACGGAGTAACAAACAAAACTACAATTTGTTAGAACGGAGTGTAGAAACGTAGGGTTTGACGGATGTTAGTCTGACGTTATAGATCCCCCGGATATTTACGACTTTACCCTTAATTAATAACTGAAATTACCTTTCCAACCCCATATAAACGAAATTCGTTAATATGACATATTACTCCCTCCGTGTTTTAATAAGTATTACACTTATCAAATGCGGCCGTATTTTAATAAGTGTTACACTTTTTTTTTTTTTTTTTGGTAAAAAACAACATTATTATATTATATCTTTCTTCTTTCATGGTCCCCACCTAAACCCACTATTACTTTTTTAATTATTTTTTTCCTCCCACATTCATTACTTACTATTTACCCCACTATCTTTCATTTACAATTTTTTAAACTCCAACTGTTTCCGGGGTTTTTGGAGTCCCTGGGGAGAGTTACAATTCCAAGAATGCGCGTCGACCATCCGTACCTGCAAAACCACGGAAACTCCGGTTGGGTGGAGTTCCGCCTCCGACGATCAAGTTAGAACGTTTCCGGATGTATTAAAGTGCAGAATGTAAAGGTTTTTTTCTCGGATTCCGAGAGAATTCTGCAATTAATATTGCTCGGGTTTTGTGTGTATATTTATGAATGTGTAATAAATGAGGATTTTCCTCTATTTATAGTGAGAGGGGATCAGTTCCCCTTTCATATGCTAGAGCGCCACGTGTCGCCAGAGGATTGGTTCTCTCAGAACCCCTCTGATGCTGACACGTGTCAGCACGTGATTGGGCCATGTGGACAGGGTATTTTTACCCTAAACATTTGCCCCTCACAAGTGTGACGTGGCTTGCCACGTGGCACCTGTGACAGGTGCCATGCTCTGAGAAGGTGACGTTTCGTCTTTTTTTTTTTTTTTTTTTTTTGAATTCGAATTCGGAAGGTAACGGTTCGCCTTCTGGGGTTCCCTATAAGTAGAGACCCCCCTCCTCTCATTTTCACACTTTACAAATTTTTGAGAAATTTTCTTGGGAGAAAGAGAGAAAGCTCTGATACTGGCTGCTATTTCTTACACAACCGTCTTCCTTTTCCTTACTCATCCGGTCACCGTCTGAGTGCTCTTTGTTTAGAACTTGCTAAAACCGCCTGAGGGTCTTTTGTCATCCCTATCTTTCAATCCACCCACAGCCGGCCAACCGTCTGGGGGTCTTTGGACTACTTCTATTTGCTTTCAATACTCCTACAACCGGTCTACCGTCTAGGGTATCACCAAGGAGGATTTCGGAGAAATGGTTGGGTTGCTCAACAATTTTCAGCTGCTCTTGAAGAGGGTACATCCGGCTACCGTCTGGGTATCTAGCAAGCAACAAAAAGATTTTCGGCTGCTTATCCGGATAGCCTACTTTCTCCTCAATCAAAGCATCTTCAAGGTACCGTCTCTACCCCTTGCAACTTTTTTGAGTTTTTTCGGTTGTATAGCTTGTAAAGAATAATGGATTCACCCAACACACACACGGAACGACCTAGGACAGTTGTCAGCTGGTCACCGGATACGGCTGAGTCTAGGACTGGGGATGCCGTCTGGGGGTGTTTGGACCACCCTTACTCTTCTGCGAATCCGATCATCTCTGTTCATGTGCAGGACAGAATGGCTCGGACGAGACGGACGACTGTAGACCCCGAATATCAGTCAGACGGCTCAGCCGAAGCTCCGGCTGACTTTGTACCTTATGACCAGCCGGGCATACCTAGCACGCCCGAAGATGATATCTTGGACGATTCCGAGGATATAGATGCGAAGAGACCGTCCAGCAATCAGACTCCACAAAGTCTACTATGGAACCGGATGCCCCCCAAGAGGATGAGGAGGCATATAAATGGCCCTCTATCAATAATCCAACTAAGGCGCACCCGACCGCCAGGGATGTGGTCACTTTAAATGCCACCTGACCTGGATTTTTACAAAAGCGCCCGGTTGGGGTAGGATGGGAGATTGTTGTGCCGCCTGTAGAGGCAACCGTCGTCTGGGATGACGACCTTGATCATGCTAATGATTATTTTGGCTGCTATGAGGCGGCGTTCAAAGCCGGCCTCCGGTTCCCCCTCCATAATACAATAAAAGCCATTCTAAGGGGTTACGACCTTGGCGTTTGGCAGCTAACACCCAACTCTTGGGTGAAAATACTAGGATATATAGATGCCTGCGAAATACACGACATAACGCCTAGCTAGGAGGCGTTTGCACATATGCACTACCTTAGCCGTGCCCCAGGCGGCTGGAATGCGTGGTATACATTGACCACGCATCCGGAATACATAATGACGCTTGACAAGCCGTCAAAATGGAGCAGCTAGAAGAGTATGTTTTACATGGTTTCTTCCCTATCGCTGCAACAAAACCACCAGCTACGTCGCTACAATACACACCCGGCTCTCCTTGGAAAGAAATGCACCGCCTGTGGCCTTAGCACAATGTTTAGCAGATGTATGTTGATTATTAACCGGCACTTTATGCCGTTTGTATCATTCTTGAATGGAATTTGATTTTTTTAATTTTCTTTACAGAGAAAGGATTAGAGATGGTGCCTCCTAAAAAGACGCCTGCTAAGTCTACTGCACAGATTCGGAAGGATCAGTTGGAGAAAAAGAGGGCCCAACTGACGGCCAAAGATGATGGGGTAAGCGCTGGCTGAGCTCTTTTACCGTTTGTATGGTTTGAAGTTAATTTTGATATTAACCGGCTGTTTTGTTTTCTTTTTCAGACGGGGAGCAAGAATGTTCCTCGTTCTTTAACAAAGATGCTGAAGAGACCGGGAGAGGAGCCCTCCCAGCTTGCTTCCAAATCTAGAAGGGTCCCGGCTGCCCCTGCCTCTACTGGAAGGCCGCCTGTGCCTGAGAGGCCCACCTCAGCAGGCAAAAGCCTGAAAGACCTTGGCCTAAACACAGGGTCGGCTGAGGTTGAGACGAGGGAGCCCGAAATTCCCTCAAGCCGGGTGCTTGCTGTAGCGTTCGGCTCCAATGCGGCTGGGGGTGGGATGACCCCTCAGCCTGAAAATCAAGGTACGTCTCTCACCTTTGATCCCCCCTGGCCTCTTAGGCCTATGCGAGTTAAGTCCCAAGCTACCCAATCTGGGGATTCTTCAGGCAGTCGGCAGAATGTAGGTGCCGCCTATGCTCAGTACTTAACCAATAAATCTATTAATGCAGATGCCTTTTCTCGTTGGCCTGACCTTCAAAATTATGCCAAGAGGATGCTGAGGACCCTCACCCGGTCCGAGAAGGAGGTGATGCCGGGTGTACTCTTGGTCAACATAGACCGCATCAACTCACTGCTCGCTGAGGTAATTGACTGGTTAGGGTGCTTTTGTGCCACTTTATTCTTTTTCCGGTTGTAGCATAATTGAAATACTAACCCCTTTCTGGCTGACTTTGCAGGTGATGCTAAGGGTGGACGGCATGTAGGTCCCCTTGCGGAAGAAGCAGGAGGAGGTAAGGGATGCCAATAGAAGGGCAGCCGACCTTATTGATGTTACTAAATACAACACCCTTATGTATGAAATTCAAACTAAAAGCCAGGAGATGAAATAGGAGGAGCTAATCAAGGAGCTCACGGCTGCTGCTGCTGACACGGCCAACAAGAAGGCGGTCGACTTTGAACTTCAAGTTAAAAACCTCTAAGTTGATGTCAAAGCATTGGGGGAGGATGACAAGGAGAACACTAAGCTGCGGTCAAAGGTCAACCGCTTGAAGAATGAGTTGGCCCAGACCCAGGCGGACCATAAGGAAAAGCTGGCGGCTGAGCAAGACCGGCTGATCGCCGAGAATGAGCGCGACTGTGAAGAGCACATGAAGATGGCCTGGTCTATGATCCATCCGGACACCGATTGGGCTTTCTTTGACCTGCGGTACAAGTACGCCACTAAGGTGTTCGATGCCCAGGTTCCCGGAACAGCGAAGCCGGCTCCCTTTGAGGAATGGGCCGGCATTGCCGAGGAAGAAGAAGAGGAGCAGGAGCAGGCGGAAGAACGAGCGCCTGGTGAGACTAACGAAGCTCAAGCCCAGCAAACTCAAGATGCTCCTCTTTCCGGCCAAGGTCACCCGTCTCAGCGTCAGCAGCAACAGCAGTAGTAACTTGATTTGTTTCTTTTTTCTACCTTTGGCCTACGAGTCGTGTACTTTAGATGTATCTCTTTTCCCCAGGCATAG